CCCCAAAATCCCCAAAACCCCAAAACCCCAAAACCCCTATCACTAGAGTCACCATTGAAAGATCATTAGAACTTATTGATAGTTTCGGCTGTTGACCTGTCTGTACTCACTCTGAATCTGGCTTATGTCCATGATGCTGTCTGGAGAGGGCCCATCGTCCCCTACAGAGTTTATTAATATAGCACTGCTCTGTTGAATCTCTAAGCGTGGAGGATCTTCTTCATCAATCGTGAGGTTGTGCACTGGAGTCAAGCTTGCTAAGAGATTCTCTCCTAAATGTTTAGATGGAGTATTACTAGGATGGTTACTTGGATGTCGTAGACCTACATGACTTGTGAGTCAAGCTTGGCAAGTAAGAATGATTTGGTTTTGGGATTTGACCGTGATGTCTTGATTTTAGAAATTTGTTGCCTTGGCTCCACAGCTGAAGATTTAGTTTTGAATTCGTATTGGTTGGTGGTTTGAGATGAAGCTTGTTCCGAGATTTTTGTGAAGGTGGCTCTACAGACCGATAAAGGTCAGGATTTTTATTACTCTTTTCTCTCCGCTTTTCATTAAAATAGTTCTTCTTTAGAGTTTCCTTTTAATATTCTTTGGAAATAAATTTTCATTCTTTTTGTTCTTTATTATGAAATTATCTTTAGAGTTATTATTTTCAAGCCTAGCAGATACTTTTTCAGGACTGTGCATCTGGAGGTGATCTCGGATTAAGTCTGCCAATGGTTTGAATGATTCTCCAAATCTGGGAGCCAAGTGCTTCAATTTATCCAACATTGTTAAAGCTTTGTAGCCTTTGAAAATTGATGAAAATATTTTATTTATCATTTTGACTCAGATTGGACCTGTTTAATTCATTTATTGTTTCATTATTTCGCTGATGTCTGCATGTTCATTGATCAGAAGCTTCGAGATACTTACAACAGATAGTTACCAACCTTTCAATGACTTTTTGGAGGAGACTATTGTAATAAGTTTCTTGTTTCCTCATTGTGAAGCCGGAGTATATAGACATAAGTAATTCAATTATTTTTAATAAAATTGGGGTTTTGGGGTTTTGGGGTTTTGGGGTTTTGGGGTTTTGGGGTTTTGGGGTTTTGGGGTTTTGGGG